AAAATACAAAATCTTATATCGCAGATCTAGGATTATCTAAAAAGAAGGATGAATTCTCTTCAAAAGACATGATTTATAGAGTAATGCCCAGAGTTTGCTTTTTCACCTTTCACTGTGGGTTTCACCTTTCACTGGGGGTTTCGTCTTTTGTCAGGGGTTTCTTCTTTCGTCAGGGGTTTCATCTTTTGTCAGGGGTTTCATCTTTCATCAGAGTTTCGTCAGTTTCATCTTTCGACAGGTTTAGGTTTCATCTTTTGTCATTTCCCAAAAACAGTTTCATCTAACAACTATACTTTTGCATGTGTATTTTGGGATTTTATTACATTGTATTGATATTGATGCGATTGAAAATTTTTCTTGACATTTTTTTTTGATGAACATTGTTCGCTAAAATTTCTTGGCATTTTTACTTATTGTATTTAATCCAGCGATTTTTGTTACATGAATTTAAATCTTTACGATAAAGAATTGAATATATTTGCATCCTATATAAAACAATGACAGATATACAATCTACAATTATTTCGCTAAGAGAATTAAATACCAAGTTTACATTCAAGATTAGCGAACTTAGAAAGAAGTATGCCGATCTTGAATCCAAGAATACAAAATTAAAACAAGACAAAGAAGAAGTTGAAACCAAATTCTTGAATTTAGAGCAGAGAGATAGAGAAAAAACTGACCTTATTGCTAAACTGAAACATGATGTTTCGCTAATTAAAGAACAGAGCTTGCAAAACGGTAATAGGTACATCCCTGAACAGATAGTCCTCTCTCAAAGAGAAAGTAATATCAATATACCCAACTCTGTTATAAGCCCTGCTGGTACTAGTTCCAAATCGTTAGAGAATAATATCCCTATATCTAATATATCTGATAACACATCTAGCAACGAAGTGACTGTCTCTGGCAATTCTGATACATATCAGGATTCATTAACCCCCATGTCTTCCATTTCTGCAAAAACTATATCATTGGAGAAGAAGGAAGAAAATAAATTTATGAATTTGTGGTATAAGGAACAGTTTAGTAAAGAGATAATGGAGAGAATTGTGGAAAAGAAACTCCAGGAACAAGAGACATCCTCAACTTCTGAGAATAATATACCTAACATTTCACGTGAGCAAGATTTAATACAAGAAATATCAACATCTATCAAGGAACAAGCACAAAGTATCATTTCTCCTGAAATAAATCATACGATCAAAATTTTAGAGAACAATGTTCATCCAAATTGTGACAATTCCAGAATAACACGAGACTCAGAGACCCAAGATATTATCTGTCTATATCAAAATGCGTGTGATGCAGAAAAAGATGCAATCAAAGCTAATCGAAAAGAAATTTTGTGTTGGTGTTTCTATGCTAAAAGATTCAAAAGAATGGTTAAAGATTTTATGATCAATGATAGAATTGGTGAGAAAAAAGCAAAGAGACGAGTATACGATTTTATTATCAAGCAACTCCCTGCCACCAAGCATAGAAATTTGTGTAAGCAGACACAAAAGGCTTTAAGAATTGACAATTTATTCGAAAAAATAGGAATGGTAAAGTTCAATATATCAAAACTTATAGTGCGGATACTATTTCAAGATTTACTAATTTACAAATTCAAACGATTATAGACCATTTTACCAAAAAGCCTGATATAGAATATATCGATAATCAGGACAATTCTTTAGATGATTTACCCGAAGCTGAGTTAAGTGAGGAAGCCAAAAAAACTTTACCGAGAACTGAGATAAGTGTATTGCCTAAGAAAGTATTACCAGAAATCGAGATATTAGACACAAAAGCCAATGATAGTAAACCACAATCTTTAATTACTGCTTTATCTGATGATGAGCCAGAAAATTTCTTCAATAATGATGATTTCTTCAATAACAACGAAGATGATGGGAAGTTTTGTGGTTTTTTTGATGATGATAATGAAGGTTATTATTATGATTTCAACACTGATAAAACTTATACAAAATCAGAACATCATTATTCAATCCGCGCATATTAGATACAAAATATCCTGCTTCACAGGCAATAGACATTTTATAAGCGATGCATTTATACCGATGTATCTAGCATCTGTGCCTATATATTTTATTGTTACAATAAAGCAAATTTATTTTTTATCCCGAATTTATTTTTATTTTTTTTTTGGTATTTTTTGACGAATATTTGTTCTCTGAAATTTTGCCACGTGTATTTTCCACAATCGATATGCGATTATGTTACGAAAAGTCAATATCTAATTTGAATTGATTTATGATCATGTAAAATGTTAATATGGAAGAGCAAAGCGCAGAATCAAAAACTCATAAAACACTAACTCCTGAATATTTGAAATGGGAAGCTGAAATTACTGTAGTGCCAGGTATTTCGATAGATGGGATTCGTTCCAAGTTGTATAAATGTTATGAGAAAGAAACTGGCCTTGATTCTTGGATAAACTCTGAATCTTCACAAATAATGACAAATATACAACCCAAAATTGATTTATTAGAATTGGTGTCAGAGCGGTCTTTAGATCTTTGGAATGAGATAAGAACATTCCCTAAAGAAATGATTTATAAATGAGTTCTTGAACCCAGATCATTCGAAGATAAAGAGATCAATGAATTGGTAAAGAAATTACAACTCAATATTTGCTTTCCTTTTATTGATAGAGCGAGTTATTGTGATATATTCTACAATTTAGTACCTGAATTAGAAAAGAAAATAGATGAATTAAAAAATGAGAATATCAAAATCAAAACTGAAAATATGAATTTAAAGCATAACAAAAAAGAAGTTGAAACTGAGAATATAAAGTTAAAACAGGATTTAGATGAATTTAAAAAAGAACTAAAGTCTAAGAAAAATCATAAATTTTAGGAAAAATGTATCCTAATAGCTCAAGTATTACTTGGGGAAAAGCTGATACTCGAGTATCGTCCTCCCTACTTGAATGAGTTAGAACTTGATGCCTTCTTTCAAAAATACCGAATTGCATTAAAAGTACAAAGGAATCAGCATCAGTTTCATAGCACTAGCTGGTATAAAAATGTCAAAAAACTTGAGGATGTTGTAAATCGTGATCGGCTAAAAAGATGCATATGTCAAGATAATGAGATTTTTCTCCTTGAAGTATGGTACGATAAAAAGCCAGAAATTGTCATTCTGGAAAGAATACAAAAAATTAAGTTCATTAATCAAGCACCCAAAAGCTTCGACCCATAATCAAATAATTTACAATACATATCGCAGATAAGTGTTTAATATATATATTGTAATATCAGAATTCAATCCAAATATAACAACCATAAATCATTTTTTCCGCGATTATGGGGTTACCAAAAAATAGATAGTTAATTCAACTCCCTGTATATATTGTGAATTTTTAACAGGTCGAGAGAGGCTGGTCAGTGAAGAGTTTTATGTCACAGTATGCTAAAGAGTAGTTTAAGTACTGTATGGCTTGACGATCTGATGAAAGAATAGGAAGAAATCTATACTCAATTCATACAAATTTTTAGCCAGTTCTAGACAAAAAATAAATTACATTTTGCCAGTAATCTTCTTGTTTCTAATAAAAAAGCATGATTATAAATAAGTATCATAGAAAGTTCTAAAATTTTTTCATTATATAACTATATTTCCATACACATTTAAATTTTGACCAATTCACATAATCACATTAAAATAAAAAATGGCGAGCTCGCAAGACCCTCTTTATTTCATACTACACAGAGTGCAAGACACTCCAAAATAACATATTTCAAAATAATGGCACTTCGTGCCTGGAACCTTGCTTTATTAATATAAAAACTTTACCGAAGTAAAGACATATAAAAAAAAAATATATTGCTGTTACATAATGCGAATACAAGAAAAAAAAAATATTATTCCTTTGGTTTTACGATAATATGAATTTGATTTGGATCAAAAGTTCCATTTTTGAAATAATCAAACATTTTAGCTATCGAATTCTTAGGAATGATAACATAGAGATCGGAATCTTGATGATCTTGATTTTTCAACAGACCCTCAACTGCGTGTTTAAGCATTGCAATCTTATCTTCCTTACATACCTCAATATTAAAACGTTTATCATCCGGGAAAAGGCACTTAAGGCTAATAGGATTTGTAGTCATTTTTCGTACCTAAATACAAAAATTTGTAGTAAATAAAAATTCGTTTTCATAGTCTCCATTAAATAAAATAGAAAATTACTTTAAAAACAAATTACGGGCAAGTAAATCAAGTAAAAATATATATGAGCAAAAAATAACGTTATTAATAACTTATCTTATGGGTAGGAACTTGCTTATTTTATACTGTCCATTTATTAGATCTAAAAAACCTGCCAGAAAAAAAGTTACACAATTAGTAATTATGATAGGGCAATGCAATCTAGATCCCACCATATAAAGCAAGTCTATTCGGTCATAAGTCCTAAATACTGAATCTATTTTGCCATTTTTTTAGTTAAATTTGACCCCTTAGATTTTGCCGATCGCTCAGAGTGGGCTAGATCTCAGAGATGGTGGAGATTCCAAGTTCTTGCGACATATGAATTTTGACAGGCAAAGCCTGGGGTCTATGACCTATAAAACTACTGATTAAGAACGTTGTACTCTTTACCCTTATAGTCTTTTTAAGTCCTATTCTTATCGCAGGATCTTATATAAGGTAAGAAAAAAGTTCTAGAGCGAGTAGTTATTAACTGTTAATCAAAAATTGACCATGAGAAATGATTCTGCAGGAGAGTAACATCACATAAAATTTAGACCCGAAGGGTCACCCTACTACTTTCAGGAATATTGTAATACTTGGCATTTCTATTTCTTTCAGTGATTAATAAGCTCAATTGATCATCAGTCCACATAACTAAGTTTCTAACGCGACTCAACCACGACTCTACAGCGATACACCTGTTTTTCATAGAATTATATAGAAAAAAAATACTGCAACTCAACTGTGACTCAACAGTGGATTAGTTTATTACCTGACACAACCAAATTAATCATCAGATAATTCTGTAATCACAATATAACATCCTAAAGAAATATGATTTTTGTCTCATCTCGGACTGAGTGATACATATGATTCTATCTTAATGACTTCATTTTTCATGCAACGATAATACTAACATTCTTATGACTACATTTTTCATGCAGCGATAATACTGATTATTAATCTACCTACGCATAATGGATAACACTAATAATAAAAGTATTACTATGTGCCCGACATTTTAATTATTGTATGCTGAGTTGTCTTTTGTATCGCTAGTTATTATTATTTTTGGCAAAAGTGATCGGCATAACAATTTATCACACATACATGATTTTTATTCACATGAGAAAAAATATCTTGGATTGTCATATCTCCTAATATACCTGCAATAGGTTCATCATATATTTTACTCGCAAATATGATGAATATACAAAACTTATCTAATAACCCAATTCACACAAAAAATGAATTGCAATATTTATTAGTATATAGTTATTAAATCAAATAGGTCTAAATTCCTAAATATGATATAAAACACTATAATACGTTAAATTACTTAATCATTAAATATGGTCTATACAAATAATTGTCCAGTTTTAAATAATATCGAGTGAAGAGATAACTGCCAATTTCCAGTAATTCATGATGGGAAAACACCATCTAATTGGAAGAACCAAATCTGGAATCAATTAGTGAATTATAGAAATAACAATAAATTGACTAATTACAATAAGCGATATCTTATTGCCAGAAAGATGAAATCTACAGAAGAATTCAGTTATCATATGGCAGTTAAAGTGAATATTGCTATATGTTATAGCTGTGATCAGTTTGTTTATGTTGATAAAAGAGTAGGATATGAATTATATTACAATTATAAGATGGAGGAACATTGGTGTACAAATTGTACTGGAAATAGACATTGTGATATATGTTTCAAAGAGTATATGGAGCTTAAACAAAAACCAGAAGTTGAAAGTGATATTTACACAAGGTTAGCTATTTATCGATATGAATTATGAATAGAGAATCTTATCAATAGAGTTAAACATATTCGAAAAACAGCAAAAAAGATCAGAGCTGTAAAAATTATACAACAAAAATGGATTGAGATTATGTATAAGCCCAATGGTCTCAAAGCTAAAGAACTCGCTGAGCATTATAAATTATTATGGGCAGTTAGAGAAGAAATGCATCAGGTTAGTAATGTATAATTATTATATATATCTATTTATTTATTAAATATAATTTATCTATTTATTTGATTTATTAATTATATAACTTATTCATATATATATCTATTTAAAATAAAACCACCTAAAGTATTCCTTAAAGGCTAGTACTTTAGATTTTATTTCGTTATCCCTAAGGACTGATAATATTTTTTACTTTGATTTTTCATATCAACCTATTTTACCCAGCATAAAAATCTTCTTAGTACAAATAAACTACAGAATTTATTTATTTTTCAACATCTACTTCAACCTCAATCAGGCTGGATACTGATAGCTATTTCATTGGAGAATAGTAAAGAATAAGATACTAAAAACATCCATCTTAATTTAAATACTAGGTAGGCTGGATACATGCATCTTCTCAATTATATAAGAAGTGGCGAGTAGGATGTACTTATATTGTTGTATTAATAAATAACTGAAAAAATAATTATTCGATTGTTATGCCTTATTTTATCCGATTTTAAAGTATTATATCTTCTGAAATATTGCCCTGGTTAGGCAGAATGTTTTTTATCTTTTAATCCCTTGATCTCCTTTTCTAGATCAAGAGGAGTGTTCCATCGAAGTAAGAAAGACTTAATTCTGGGTTTATTCAGATCTATAACTATAAACTCTTTTTGCCTCAAATAACCGTCAATAATTTTTGAAGCTTTTCATGGATCTACATCAGTGTAAGGACTTATAATATCTGCAAGTTTTCGAATAGAGCCCCACCATTAAAGAGAACAATGTGAGTAGCATTTTCGTGAATATTTATTGAGATTTTGTAGAATTTCTGAGCAACATAAATTGAGGAAATATTCTCATGACGAACTCGAGTGAAAAATGGAATAATTTTTTTCTGTATAGCTGGGGAATCAGAGTAAAGCACTTCAAATATCGCTAATGTACTTCTTTTAGCATTAAACTTTTTGAAATCTGGGATTTTATCAGAAGATAGTGTAGAAAATGTGACATCTTCATAATAGGGCTTTGATTTGTCTTGGGCAAGATATTTATAAAAATCTCGAACTATTTTATATTTTGGCTCATTTAAATAATGTCTGAAAAGAAATATATTATTGCATTTAACATTGCGTTCTCCTATCTTAGAATGCTTTTTCTTCTTAAACATGTAATAAAATTTGGGCATTGTTAGCAAGTTTAAATTCATATTGGTCTTACCTGAATTGCTAGCCCCTGCCATCATGATACGAAAAGGCCATGCTAGTGCATCTTTATCTCCCTGGTATTTTTTCGAAGGTTTTACCTCATCCATGGCAAATACACAATATAACATCTTTTTGTTATAAATATATATTATGTTTTTTTATTCTGACGAATAATCTGATTTTGACATGCTATTTATATCTATATTTTGTAGATAACCTTTCTCTTGCAATTTGCATTTTATGTATAGAAATAAATCAGCACCATACAGTATTTCAATAAGATCTATATCTCACTCTTTGCATATTTCTTGCTTTTTTTGGTCACATTTTCTTTGATTATCTAGATCATCTTGATTTTTGTGATATAAACTATTGTGATGGTAGTGTTGAACTCCCTGGAATTCATATGCCAATTTTAGCTCTTTATTATACCCGTCTAATTGCATCCCATTCAAAAATGATGGTTTACAAGATGGAAATTTCTTACCTAACAGATCTTCAAAAATATATCTACAGTGACGCTCATCGGTGTGATGGAAGCAAAGTGGACACCATTCAAATTTCGTAGCTATTAATAGATATGGATATTCCCACTGATGCTTTCCATTTTCACAGGACCAGAAATATACATCGAAATCATTTATTCGGCCAATTTTATCAAGACATTTTCTGTCACACTTCACAGCATATACAACAGCTTTAGCCATTTTATTAATAATACGAACAAAATTAACAGACCTGGAACGAGTGTTTTTCTTTAATATACTCTGAGGTGAATACTGAAGTTTTTCGAGATCAATTAGCATTAATTCTTCATGTACAAACCCATGTGTTGGTGCGAATTCCCCATCTAAATAATATAAAATTGGTTCGTTTTTCGTTATCACAATTTTGTAGATTTTATGTAAAGAAGGGCTCCAAATTTCATCTGGTGCACACCTTTGATTTTCCATACCTCCTTCCCATTCTGCATTAGTGAGTAAGAACGAATAGTATCTCTCTTTTTTAATTTTTCTTCATCTTTACCAACTGAACGTTTGTATTTTGTAGATGGTCTAGACTCTACCCTATCCAATCTAATTGCCTTTATAGGCGCTAATCCTCATTTCTTTGATCCTGGCACTTGTATAAGTTACGTTGGATAATTATTCAGATATTCAAGAACATTTGGTAAATGTTTAACCCATGCCCTTATTAATTTAGAATTCCTGGATATAGTTTCAACAGTGAATTGAACTTTGTATAGCATCTCTGCTAATGTCTTACAAAATCTGTCTACAATTGCAAGACCTTGATAAGAATACGGGCCTATAACTTGGATTATAACATTATGTGCCTCCATTATTTTTGAAGTCTCACCCATCCATTCACGCCGCCATTGCATTGTAATAAATCAGGCCAGGTAAGGGGACATTCGAATTATCATATATTTTCTTAAATGGTTTGGTGACTTCTGAACTGTTTTTCAATGTCAATAAAACAGCCCATTTAAAATAGAATGCAACATCTATAACAGTAAGTACCCATTTGTATGTCTTTTTATTAACAGTATCATTTGTGAGGCATAACAAATCACACATATGTACGCAGTTTGGACGTGAAATTTTTCTATAACTAACCTGTGGAGTATCTTTTGGTGATGGAGCGTATTTTTGTCATTCATTCTGGTTTGTAAGCCACTCACATACCTTTTTATATGGAAACTGATACTCCTCTGCTTTAAGATCTTTCCATAATTTTTGGGGGTTGAAATGATACCCTGTTAGTTAATAGAATAATAATCGGCAAACTAGGGCCAATTCCTCATCAGTACTAATTATGATACTAGGTTGGTTCATTTTCGATACATTTTACTATATTAATAAATTATTATTTGGTAAAGTTTCCAGAAGTGTCGATATATTATAGGCTTGTACAATGCCATCGGATACAATAGTGTCTCTACCTAGTGAAACAATCAAAAAATTCGAAGCTAGTTTGCAGATAATAAAAAATCGATTCTGTAAATTTCAATGGGATTTAGACTTAAAAGAAAGTTACATCAAATATCTCGAAAATGAAATTTTAATTTGAGATGAAGAACTGGATCTATTATGACAGGAAATTTCTGATATTAAAGAACAGTTGGAAAAAATACTTCAAGATTCTGAAAGCCAAGAGAATTATATAGACTATTTGGAAAAGTGGTTAGTAATTTTTCAAGATGAAATAGACAAGCTTAATGAAAAAATAAAAATACTTATTTTATATAAAAATGGCAATGATAATATAGATATGGCACAACCAGGATCACTCTGATTATCTTTGTCTGAAAACCAAGCTACAATTCAGAATCATAGAATTCAGCAAGAGGTTGATAATATTAAATGGTATTTTCAAAGCCCAACTACAATAACACCTACAATAAATGGCATCGTAGATTATCTTAATATAATTTCTGATGCTGGAAATAGGCTTAAAAGAATAGTGCTAGAAATATATACATAAGCTAATGCACGTGCAATCAATGCAGAAAATCGAGTAGCAGATTTGCAAACCCAGCTAACAAATTTGCAAACCCAGATAGCTGATTCGCAAATCCAGTTAGCCACGCTTCAAAATGATTATGATCTTCTTTATCAAGCTTATAGAGCTCATAAACTTAATTATCACTTATTAAAAGCAACTTGTATAGAAAAAAATAAGCATATATCAGAGCTACTCTAAGAAAAATTTGTATCACGCCTTTTAAATAGACAATTTCAGATTCAAGCCCAACAAAATAGCCAGCAACTACAAGATTGTAAGACGAATGGGGCAATTACTACACATCTCTTAAATCTTACAACAAATCGATACAATAAGTGGAAAAATAAATGCAAGACTCTAGAAAATGATCTATTACTTGCTGATGTTCAACTGGACAACAAGTGAGGTAAGTGGAAAACTCGGGCAAGAAATTCTGAACAATTAATTAATAATTTAAATCAACAAATTTTAGCACTACAATATAACCCACCAAATATGATGACAGTTGCAGGAGACTTAACCAGCATTGCACCATTAATTGCACAGATTCCAAATTATAGTAGACAGATTCCATCAGATAAATGGTATCAAAGAATTAATCAAATATTAACTTTACCATCAATTATGGCGAGCACCTTTAATAATGCACTTCGAGCAGTTATTTTAAAAAGTAAGATGGCTGGAAAATATACAAATATACCCACACAATACCCCGTAGGTACAAATATTGATACTTCAGCTCGTTATATTGTTTGGTTGCATCATAAATATCAGACAAAGACAGTTGGAACACAACAAGTTGCTACTCAAAGATTAGCACAAGAAAAATTCTTACCATTTGATAATCCAGAATCATATGAGGCTAGAATCTGTCCTCTTTTATTAGGAGTTGCTGTGGTGATGCCAATATCTTAGGACTTCTTAAAGGTTATTTATCAGGAGAGCTTTATACTTTGATGAAAATCGCTAACCCTGATGGCATTGATGCATTTTTTACAGAACTTAAAAATATGTGATTAGAATGTCCTTCAAATTTGTATAAAGGCTCCATTCCTGACCAAATCTCTCAAACTTCAGCTGTTAATATACAAAATAAATTACATTCCGATAGTAGTAGTATATTTCGAGCTGAACTAGATAGTATAATAAAATCACAATTAGCTTTAGTACCAACTACTTCTATTTAGTCTTCACAGCTCCAGAAAACACAAGCTTTACAGTCTCAGCAAAAGCAACCTGATTTCAGTGACTACCTTAGAGTACCAGATATATATATGCCAGAAAGACTACCAGATGAGTATGGTGTAAATTCTGAAAAATTTATTCATTGTAATCTTATAAACCCAACTCCTTCAGCCAGCCAAATTATAGAATCTTTAACTAATGATCTTTATAAAAAAGTGTCAGATATGTTTTCGGCAAGCCAGTGCAATCAAAGAAAAATATTGAAGTAGACTCTGATGAAGAACTGGCTGATCGTATGGGTAAGTTATCAATAAATAAGGCTTTGTTGAAAGGTTTTGAGGCAGAAGTTCATGCTGTTATTAAATTATCAAAACACTGTTGTTCAAATTGTAATAGAACTGGACACAATTCTCGTAAGTGTTCTAGAAAGAAATCTAAAAATTCCAAGAGATCTAGCAAAAATAAAAAAGATAAGATTAATATGGCTATTAATAATTCTGGTTCTGATTCAGATTCTAACTCTTCTAATAATAATTCTGATTCTGGGTCTGATTCTGATGACATCTCCTCTGAATCTGAGTCTGAAAGTGATGTCAAAGTTCATATTACCAAGGCAAAAAAAAAGTAAATCAGAAGAGTAATTCGAATAAATCATTTCTGAAAAGAAGTCCAAATCACGTAAAGCAAAAAAAGACACATCTACTCCAGGTAAGTCTCGAAATAAATCAACTCATCTTGAACAGAATATTCAATGAATTTTACTGAAAATGCTTGAAAAGGTTTTACTCCCGCATCAGTTGGAAAAACTTAAATCTGAGACCAAAAACTTAACTACTCCAGATTTCACGAATTATAGAGAACCAGCCTCAGAAATACCTGAGTCAGAGGAAAAAGAAACTTTAGATGATCCTATAGAAATAGACTTTGTTAAAAAGAAAGAACCTATAACAAGTATTGCAACTATACTAGTTAAAATCAAATGTTTAAAAATTCTAGCAATGGTCCTTGATAGTAAGGCTGAGCTTCCAATTATATCAGAAGACATTGTCAAATGAGTAGGTTGGAAAATTGATAAATCGGTAAAGTATAATCTTAGTGGTGTTGCTACTGTTCCAACAGAATCTATCGGTGTCACTTGTAATTTCTCAATAACATTACCTCCAGGTTTTACTATAGATGAAGATTTTGCAGTTGTATGAGTTCCTAAACCAACATTAATATTTCTGAATCCACTTCTTAAGAAATATAAATATGCCGTAGACTGGATTAATGATAAAATGAAGATTCATTATAATGGAGAAGATTTTATTATTCCGGTAACCATGCATAAGGTCAAAAATAAGCTCGAAGTGAACTGTGCAACTACATCTCAGGATGATAAGCCTTTGATATCTGATCAAATTTCTCAGAAAGTTGATAGTAATGAGGATGACAATATACCATTAGAAGAGTGGTGTGCTTTTACAGATTCTAGCTTAGATTCTGTCAATTTAACTTTAGCAAAGCAAGCACCAAATGTGCTAAAAAAAAATGCATGAGTTATGATGAGTTAGAAAAATTGCTATATACTACTCTCAAGTCTAAAGCTGAAATAAATGACTTTGTAAAAAGTTGCAAATGCATTATGAAAAGCTACTTGAACATATCTCTACCAGAGATAATATTATAGATTAAGTAGTAGCTAATAGGCAAGTCATATTTGCTTTATTTTTCTCATCTCTTCTGGCTTCTTTTTCATATAATACACCCAGATTCTCACTACTTATTTTTTCTGTAGAGTTATTAGTAGGTATTGAATCAGATATGTGAGAGCAGAGCTCATTATTACATAATACAGTTTTAGACCGAGATTTGGAACTTCTCTTTTTTATTTCTGTATTGAGGGGAGTAGTAGATTCTGGATATAAAGTCTCTCTTCTGATTTGGTTAAAATTTTCAGATGAAGTTGATGGGACTAATGTGGAAATGATACTTTGTATTATTTATTGCTGGCATTCTCGATCTTCCTATATATCATCTACTCAATGTTCATTAATATGGAATTTTCTTATAATTCTATATTTAGGAACCTTATCTTTGAGTGATCTAATTGTTTCTATCTGCTCAAAAGTTAGATATGTAGATTTTCGGCGATAATATGATTTTAGAAATGGCATGTTCATGGTTTGATTTTTTATCAAATATTTAGAATAATATTTAATATTTTAGAATAATAAAAAATGATATCTATTATTATGAAACAATAAAAAATAATATCTATTATTATAGATGAATGAGAAATATTAATATAAGCAAGTCTTTGGCTAATAAAAGGACTATAAAAATAATTATTATATAACCTAATTCAATAATATCTAATATATTTTTTTAATAGATTAGAATATTTAACATTAAACATCGTTAGATAATAATAGAAATTATTAACAAAATTAGTTTTATTAATAATTGTATTATCTATTATTTAGTGAAGCAAGCTAATATAGCTAATGTATATACATTTCAAAATATTAAAGATCATCGACTTGGTAGTATACGTGAAGAAGAGCTAGAAAAAAAAATACACGATGCTATCAAATCCAAAGCTGAAATTAACAAGCTTAGCAAAAAATTACAGAATAAATACATAAAACAAATAAAGGCTTTTGATCGGGAAAGAAAAGGATGGAATCAGGATTCATTACGAAATAATACTGAGATCCAAAAATTACGCACCTACACTTTGCAGGTCATTAATGAACATAAGCAACTACAAAATGAAAATACTAATCTTATTTCTCATAATGCACAAAAAGATATTTTTATTGCTGAATCCAAAGCTGAGAATGTTACGAAATCCAAGAAAATTAAATCACTTGAGTTTATGATCATGATATTGGAAAGTAAGTTGTCTTCAGTCCAGAAAGATGTGATTTCGATTCAAAGCGACTCATCGAAAAAAGAATCTGAGATATTATCTCTCAAGTCTAAAATAGTTGAAGTAGAACATGAGTTAGCTTCGAAAGTTAGTGAACTTGAGTGTCTGAAATCGGAGGCTATATCAAACCTTATACTTGGTGGAAACGATGAAAAAAATATGACCAAGTCTGATGATATATCTGCAGTTATTGAGGAATCAGAGATTCGAGACTATGCCTCACCTAGCAAAAATCTCAGACAATATTTTGAATGCAGAAAAAGTATGGATCAAGCTAAAAAAATTGATGATAATATCTCAGCACAAACTAGCACTTTTGGTACTTGCTTCGTTAATGATGAGATTACCGAACTACCAAAAATTGATACAGAGGTTAATTTTGAAGTAAAGGATAGAACTAGCATTAGTGAAATTAACAAGGATGATATACTAGGTATATCGATAAAACCCAATACATCACAGATTATATCTGAAAATGTAACTCCACACCTTATACAACTGAATAATAATATATCTGCTTTAATTAAATTGAATTCTCAGATGAGGCCTGGTCCTGAGGCTTTGCCTCTTCCTGCTGTGGCAAGCACTTTGATGTCACCACTATCAGCATATATTTTTCTTGCTCTGTTAATTATTGCAGTTGTGTAGTTTGTAAGATGCACATGGAATATAGGTAGGCTCGAAGTGCCATTGCTCCACAGACTGAAGGAGCAACTCTAAAAGGTCATAAAAAAAGTGATCGATTGCAGGATATGTGAATCGGGTAATTAAGACTATCTATTTGAACTTGGATATTATTTATATACGAAAAATAATCTTATTGTATAGTATCACTAATATTGGGCCATTAGTAAAATACTTATGATAAGCTTTTAATATATTTTTCAAGCCATTTTTTCGGTCGACTCACAAAGTGAGGATGCTTACACATCTAGCATACATATAGCATGTTCTAATTGCATTAATTTTTCTATTAAATATTCTATGTGGTATATATTTTTAAAGAATTTAGCATAAATATGATTGATCTATTTGGTGGCAAAGAAGTATACAACGAGGAATATGAAGTTGAAGACTGTCATGTTAACAGGAATTCTTCTATGTGTATACCATGTAAAAAGTGTGATAAGTTAACTTTTTCTATATCAGCAATATGTACAAGGTATGGTGGTAAGTATCGAAATATAAAACATTATTACTGGAAAAAGCTAGAGAAAATGGCAGGAAAATCAGAAGTGCTTAAAGAAAACTTGCAATAACATGACCTGATAATATATATATAGCATAATGTCATATGACTAAATGCATTACCAGATATATTTTTTTTGCTGATCTTTTAAAAGTATATTATATAAAGTGAGTTCTCAATTATTGGAAAAAAGAGCACGAGAGTATAGACGAGATCGCTTTCCTAGAATATAAATGAAAATTTGAGGCTAAATTAGGTATTCCTACTACTCTGCACAAAAAAGAATTAAAAAGGCGATTTGTGGTTCTCATTGAGTATGCATAATTTCTGTTATAAAGATAATACAATCTAGTTAAGTAATAATTTCTGGAGATGAAAGATTGCTACATTCGACTAGACATATATCTTAGATAAGGAGTTTTTGTCATCTCTTACAATAAGCATTTAGAAAAATTTAAATCAAAAATTAATACTTCAATAGCTAGATCATATATGAGAGTTTTTGTGTCAGGAAATTTTCATCAAGGTATGCTTCCAGGTAAGAGATTGTGTTACAAAATAAAATGCATATATAAGGTACATAATAGATGACTATTTTTGTGTTGTGTAATTTTGATCAAGGTAAAATTATGCTTTAGACATTTATTAGATATATACAAAATAAAATTACGCTTTGGACATCTACTAAATATATACAAAATAAAGTTATACTTTGGATGTTTACCAGATATATATAAATAAAATTATGCTTTGGACGTTTATCAGTATAAAAATATTAATTACACAAAAAAAGATTCTAGAGATTTAAAACATAGCGTATTTTCGATAGCCGGCCAAAGTAAAATTATTACAGATATATATATAAAAAATTATGCTTTGGATGTCTATCAAGTGGGTAACAATTCAGCACTATGTGCCTCATTTTTGATTGATATTTGAAAGTATTAACTATGCAAGAAAGATTTCCAGGATCACAAAATATAGTATACTGGTGGTAGTCACCCAAAGTAAAATTATTACAGATATATATATTATACAAATTATGCTTTGAGTGTCTACCAAAATGATAACAATTCTGCACTATGTGGTAGTATCCAAAAGTATCAACTATGCGAGAAAGGTTTCTAGGATTGTAAAACATAGTATACTGCTGGTAGTCACCCAAAGTAAAATTATTATAGAAATATATATATTATAAAAATTATGCTTTGGGTGTCTACCAAATAACTGCTAACAATTGCTAACAATTCAGCACTACATGCCTCATCATCGGGCGATAAAAGAATGAATTATATGAAGCTAACAACTCTAATGAGTGGACTATAAACGTTTCATCTTTGATGAGGCAAACGCAAAATGTATGTCACTCGAATGATGAAGTGAAGTGAGCTAAGTGAGCGAATACTAATATATCTCTGATGATGCAAGCATGAATCATTCGTCACTCAAATGATGGAGCGAATACTAATATATTTTTGACAATGCAAGCATGAATCATTCGTCACTCGAATGATAGAGTGAATACTAATATATCTCTGATGACACAAGCGCAAATTGTTCATCACTTGAATAATGATGCAAGCGCAAATTTTTTGTCACTTGAATGATGGAGCAAATACTAATATATCTCTGATGACGCAAGCATGAATCGTTTGTCACTCAAATGATGACAGGCATATAATCCCATTATCAGACATAACCTAGATTAAGTGGAAATAACATAATTATGTTATTTCTACTACAGTAATATCTCTACTGCTATACAATATATTCTGAATAAAAAATTCACTGTTAGAAACTTTCAAAATATTTTTTCTACAAAGGCATCATCTTTACATTAACATCTCAAAAAACTAGGCAATATTATTAAACAAGTTAAATACTTGCTAAAAAACTCTACTTCTATACCATATTAACATAATTACCTTATTAATCAAATAAATATATCTAATCAGCTTAATGTTTTACCCTTACTAACTGTTCACAATTTACTGCCAAACTGGCTAGCACATGCTAAAACTGAATGAAAATCAATCTATCATGCTTGCAATATAGAAAATATCAAAAAAATAAGTCAACAAATTAATAATAATATTTCTAAAAGATGCTCCAAACTTCAATCAAACCCAAAATTAATGATTAATAGCATACTTAACCATTACAGGGACCCAGTCAAATTTGATAACATTAGAACAAACAATAATGTAATCACTGATCCTCAAGACATCAAACAGCATATTCAACAACATTTTGACTAATGGACATCCTTTAGATATACCAATCAACAAATCTTTAAATCTAACTAGAAAGAAGAATATAACTGCAAAATGCACATTAACTCTAAGTAGTATAATAATATTACTAAAGAATTTACTATTATTGAAATAACTGAAACATTATTTAATCTTCTAAATAACAAGGCCTGTGGCCTCTTTGGCATTAGTTATAAAATAAAAAACATGCAGGCACACTCTTTCTTTAAGCAATCACAGCTCTTCTAAATAGATGTATTACTTTAAACCAAATTTTAAGCAATGAAAAGAGGGTAGAATTTTTCAGATTTTCAAAAAACCTATCTTTGACTGCAATTTAATCAACACCAAACCTATTAGCTTTCTTAAACATGCCAAAAAATTATATACAAAACTTCTCACAAATCACTTAAACCAAGTGCTCACCAAACATAAGATCCTATCACTCTACAATTACATTGTTCTGCCAGGCAACAGCATAGCTATATCTATACATATCTTAAATAATATAATTGAAGATGCATCTTGCAACTCCAAGCAACTTTGGCTTATATCTTAAAATAAGAGCAAAGCATATAACTCAGTTAATCTGAATCTGTTTAAAAAAGCATTAATTCATATCAACATGCCTTCTAAGTTTGTTAACATACTTACTAATTTATTAACAAACCATCAAAACAGAGTAATTACCAACCTTGGCCTAACTAACCTATATATAGTTAAAAATGAAATAGATCAAGAAAAAACAATAATTCCACTATTCTGATGCATTTATTATAACCTACTTATTCAAAAACTTGCATCCTAATATAAAGATTACTCATTATCTACAACTTGGAAAACCCACCTTCAACTATCTAGATCTCAAAGTCTACATGCATCTACATCAGTATTAGCTTACATGAATATACACTATGGATAGCAATAAACTAAACAAAAACTAGAACAAATTACCCAAACTGTCTCATTTTTCTACCTAATAGTCAATATTCAAATCAATGCTACCAAATTTGTCATTATTTTTAATTCATCTACATCTAATATTCAATTTTTCAACACTATTTTAGAATCTATACCTGCTAGCCAACTATTTAAGTTTTTAGGTTGTTGGTTTATACTTAATAACAAACAAACTGAACAAATCAAAATTATTCGAGAAGAAACACTTTAACTTACAAACATAGCTAGTACAAAGAAAATTATAAATAAACAAATTATTTATATAATCAATACAGTTATTATACCCACACTTGAATATAGATTACACAACATTATTATGTCTCACTCCATATGCAACAATATTTTGGCTAAATACTTAACAATAGCCAAACAAAAATCCCATCTAGCATACTCAATTTCCAATAGTACTATGCTTAACTCATACTTGTACAATGTTTACAACATATGGGACATCCAACTTCAACATCATATTACTAACTTTCTACTATGAGTTAATAATCCTAACTTACTAAAAACTTCGACATGAATCAGACTACAACAGCTCCAAAATAACCTATGGTCAACTGTCAATATACTTCAACATCCTAATTTTATTATCAATAGCCCAAATAAACATACCCTAAATTTCAAAATTATTCAATTACTGAAACACTTAAACATATCTATAACAGCTAATCCCAACATTTTATAACCAAACACTATATCATATAATCTCCAATCACTAGAATCAATTTTATTCCAACACTTTCAATACATTAGCTTCAAAAAACAAATCAGAAATCTCAACATTCTATACCTTAAACAGCTCTGTATAGCTGACAACACCATCTTACAAAAATGAAAACATCTCTTACCATGACTGTTATACTTATCTAGAGACTGTAAACCATTATGGTTCACTTACTTAGAAGACACTGTAATGGCCCATAATAGCTTCAGAATCCTTCTTCCACATTACCAACAACCAGGATACAATTCATTTGAATACAGTTCACAACATATCTCTAAAAAATCTAAACCCTGGTTACTTATATATACTAATAATGAAATTATCATTGGCAAAATCTGTAGA